GGATAGAGAGAATAAGAGAAATATTGAATATTGAAAATGAAGGGACGAGAGATGTGGAATAAAATATTGAGGGGAACGTGTGCTGAGAGAGTAAACGTGGAATTAATGGTAGAGAAATATGGAATAAGGGGATGAGAGAGGATAAAAGAATTATTGAATTTTGAAGTTAGTGAAATATGGAATAAGGGGAAGAGAGAGTAAAAGAAATATTGAATATTGTAATTTATTCTTTAGGGTCGAGAGAAATGTAGAATAAGAAAATAAGCGAAGTGTCGAATAAAAACTTAAGTGAAATCTAGAATAGACTAAGAGAGAGATTTTTATCTTTCCTCGAATCGTAATATTCAGATTAGAAAAGGTGGACACTTCTTGCTTCAAAATATCGGAAATTTTGTGGAGATCTAGGAGAATATTTCAGATTCGAGTCTTCGAAGGCACAGTGGACATTTTCTACAGAAATTTCTATCTTCACTCGACTCAAAATGGGGCAGACTATCTTGGAAGGATTTCCTCAGATATTCCGCTCACTCCAGGAAACAACCGCGCGTACTTTCCTTTCGTTTAACAAACATTCACCGAATGACGCGTGTTGTCATCGTATTAGTTTTCCTCGCGCACTGCACAGGGCGAGCTAGAAATTCAAGTGGTGTTGCAGAACGATTCACCGCCGAAACGAGCCTATAATTTCAGTAACGAGCGGCCAGCCGGAATACAATGGTGGCGACACTTCTAGCCAATATAGATTCAGCACGCGCGTCCCCTATCCGATGGTGCAAGATTGTGCGTTCGAGGTCGAGCGTTAGCAATTTCAATATAACCGCACATTACTGTCGCAGAGATTAGGCCGAAAAAATACCGTACGGTCGAGAAAAATATTGGCAAAACAGAGCGCCAACGGCGATCGTCTCGTCTGCATGCATAATAGACTTCTGCAACTTATATCTTTACCAAAGTAAAAACCACGTTTCGATGCGGATGTTTAAAAGATAAAGAAACAAAGTGTTTCAACGTCCATAGGTGACGCGTTCTCTACAGCTCCTTTGACCGTTCTAAAGTTCGCATTCACGTCGGACCGAAGGATACACGCGTGCATATCATTCTTACACGCTCTGTGCAATGATCTCGATAATTAAAAGCGCCTGAACACGTTCACTTTGCCACGCTTGAATGTAACGTAACTGCTTAAGAAACCTAAAGCAATTTTAACCTTTTGACGACGAACGTCATTTCGGCTAGAAGTGTTCGCATTTGGAAGACCGAGTCGCAAACAATGATTGAATTGAATAGACAATAGATTGGTACGTGGTTTTTTTTGTCTCTATTGTTTAAGTTGATACGTAATTTAGCTTCATCTGCTGAAGGTTTTGTGTATTTCAAAGAATCTTCTTATGGTCTCTTCTCTTGATTAATGATTGTAATAATTCTAATTGTGTAATAATATTGTATTATAATAAAGACGTGGCTAGTTTAATAAGATCTCGTCAGGTGTCAGGATGCTCGTACATAGTAGTGTATAAAAATCATCGGAAAAGCGTTTCCAAAGGTTTCCTGAAATATTTTCACGGTAACCAAGCAAGAACCGTCACGAGGAACGCGACTTTCGAGACCGCGAAGCGACAGTGGCAGAAAATTACTGGGTCGTGTAATAGAAACATCGGATTACTCGAAGAGAAAGAGAAAAACTGCTTCCCTTTCGTTCAAACAATCATTTTATCAATCAAAATACGCACCATTTGCCTGTACGCATTTCCTACAACGTGTACATGAACCGGAATGAACTTATAACCTCCGAACCTATAACTGATCACTTAGCCGGTCAATTTGTGGATACAAAAGATCCGATATTTCCTGTTATATGACCTAATAGCTGCGCTTTTCGTATCCAACGGAGAAAGGAGAGGACTCCGGACATCGCTGTCGAACCTTTCTCTCAGTGAAAAAGGCAAACAAAGGAAGGAAACCAAGAATCGAAGGTTTCAACGGTGACACGACGTTGAAAGAATGTCGAATAGCAATGACACGTGGGTCTCCGTAAAACGTCCGGTGTCGTACGATGGTCAATTCGCCAGAAACATGGACAAAAATCCAGGAAAAAGCTTCCAGTTCATCAAATGTAATCAATATCGTAAGTGTATCTGTTACTTTCACATAATTCCTCGATTCTGATGCAACAATAGCATAACGTTTAATATTTATATAACATTATTTACTATATTCTAAATCAACTGTCAAATTTTGTATTCTATATCGAAACGCCCTCTATAAGAAATTATCAAAAATGACCCTTACAACTGGTTCAAAGGCGAATACCATAACCAGACTACAGATTCCCATGCAAATTCAACGTCGAAGAACCCAATCGAAGAGATTCCCATTAATTCCCATTAGGAAACAGAGTAAGAAACACTATAATTTCGATGTTTCACACATCTTTCTCAACCGCGCGCTTTCAAATTTCCCAGAAACGCGTAGAAACCCGCGAGCCACGTTCAACTACCAAAGACGCGAGTTTTCGTCCACGTTTTTTCGAGCGGATTGACCGCCGCACGTAGCCGGGGAATGGAAAACGTAATTTTCCTCGGCCGCGAGCACGCGAGTTTCGATTTTCTCCTCGAGCCCGCCGTCGTGCCCGGCCGAGAACCACTACACGATCATTTTCACTGACTGGCACCAGCTCGCGAACGACACTGACGGCCGACAAGAGCTCCAGGACGACGCCGTGCACGCCGCGAAACTGTCGAGCCTTCCTCGAGACGTTCGGTCCGTCGACGAGCGGACTACGTCGCCGAACAACGTGTCTCGAAAGATTCTTTTAAACGAACATGCTGCTCGTTCGCGAGAAATTCTACCTCTGCACACCGTTCCGAACCTCGAAGGCACTTTCATCGATGACATCCGCGGATGCGCGTACCTCTTTCGCCCTCGGAAAAGTCAATTTAATGTGTGACACTACGCGAAGACATTAGAAAGCGAGAACAACGGCGTATATTAACTAAAACGAGAATACGAAAAAACGATTCAGATTGAAAGCAATCACTGAAGCTTTATAGTTTCCAGAGCAAATTTTCGATTAAACTCAATGTATGACTGTTTACTTGACATTTAAATAATTCGATTTTCTCCCTTGAAATTTGATTCGATTAACAATCTCTTCATTTGCCTTCGATCGTTTATGTGTTAGCAATTCCTTCGTTTCTTGGAAGAGGACGGAAAGTATCCAGGAAGCTCGACAGTTTCCACACTAATCACCGGAACCCGTCACGTGGCTCGCTCTCCCGTATCTCGTCACTGGGAGAACGCGTGCCCGCCGAGGAACTCACCACACACCGTTTATTAATCCGTCACTTAGTGAACTTTTCGAACCGCTTCGGGAAAAGAGGGCCTGAAAGGAGCTCTCGGCGGCTCCTGCTCTCGTCGGCTTTTCTGTGACTGTCTGTGTAACGGAGCTTAGTGAGCGGCTTTTATTAGAAGGAGGGGCCTGGCGCCACCTCCACGCTACACTTAAGCCTCCGTCCTCTCTTTTCCTCTTTCTCTCGGCCGCGGCGGCGGCGATCCTGAAGAGAGGGATCGCCGACGAACGGCCCGGTCGGTCCCGGACGACGAAAGAGACCCGCGCTGAACGGGCCCTGAAGATGAACGGGACGGAAGCGAGCCGTGGATCAGGATCTGTCGTTGTCAGTTTTGACCGGAGGTTGAAAACTTTCGGAAGTTAACTGTTTTATATTGTTACACTTTGTTAATTGTCCTCTGAAGTTTGTAAGTTTGATAGAATTATTAAGTAGGACCACCGCGCCAAAATGGGTCTCAGTTTTTTTATTTCGAAAGTATTGATATCTTGAAAGGATTAAATATTTAAATGATTGGAGAAATAGTTTCAGTTGAGTATTGTAATTTTAATTATTGATATCTTAAAAAGATTCGATTGCCCTCAACTGTTTCAAGAACTGAAGCCAATATCATATGTTTTCAACCCTTGAGAATTCCTTTAAAGATTATTTCTGTGGAATTTGTTTTCAGAATATTATGTACTGTTCTCTTTAAGAAAATGTAGAACAGTATTGTCCTGTTTTTTTACGGTGACAATTTGACAGCAGGTGTAAAAATCAAGACATTCGATAAGATTAACTCCAGAAAATAGGAAATGGAACAATTGGACTTAATTAAGATCAAAGAGTAATTACGTGTTTTAGCAGTAAAAGTTAAAAACATTTAATAAGAGTTTATTATCTTAATCTGTAAACAATTCTGATGTGATTCGTTGTAAATATGTTATTAGAAATATTTATTGTTTAACCGTTAGATTTTTAAAATATACTGATCGTATTTAAGATGAATATAGTTATTCTTGCGGAAAAGGGAAAGTACATGGTTGTGCATAACGGTTACAGGGTTACTGGACAATGGATTAACGATGGTGAAACAGATATTCAAACTAGGCAATAAATATTTATTAAACAGATCACTTGTTTTCAAAAGGATCCTTACACTCCTTCGTCTAGTGTGCGCATCACAAAAGGTTGTTTAATTAAAATGAATTATTTATGGGGTTGCAGTTTTCGTACACAGTATATGGTGCTCCACTACAAATCCCGATTGCATCACCATCAAATTTTGTATGCACAGCGTCCGTGGCAGTATCGTTGGCAATATGAATACAGATACCAAATTAGCCAGTGAAAAATCATGTAAGATTTCGGAATATTAATGCCAACAGATGTATAAGAGTCTCATATGAATCAATTGAATCATTACAATGATAAAGTAGCTGAAATTCAAGATCCATGTTCTCTACTACTTAATCGTAAATAATATTCTCAGTATAACTCAGCGGTTGAATGAAATGAAAGAAGTCTCATAAATATGTCATCACTCAGACAACGTATATCATTACTGACTGTTCAATCATTCTTCTTTTAAACTAAGGAATATTCTAGCCATAAGTATTTAAATTCGTGCATACTGCAAATGAATTATTGCTGCTCCTACTTTCCCAATATTTTCAAGTAAATATTGTTTCTTAATGATTTCAGTATTAACGCTGTTGTAACGTCAATATCATTAGATTTCAATTCAAGAGACCACTAAATTTAAACGTTCAAATACAATCATAAAGAAATCTTAATCTCATTAATCTCATCTATGACACATGACAATCAATCAGTCTAAACACATTCAGAACGGAGACAATAATGAAAATGTCATTAATATCCATTATAAATAAATGACTTCATCAACGCATAATTTACTATTACCCCAAATGCAATTACCGCAATTATACAATCAGCCTATGCTAATTACTTCACTCGGAAAAATCGCGTACTCGCGAGTTACGTGGACAGTAGTAGGAAACACAAGTGTCTTTTTAAACAAGGAAACACGTGTCAATTGTTATGTCAACAGGTACGGAAAGGAAAACGTTCTTGTTTTGTCACGTTCGAAGCGAGCGTATCATACTGGACCAAATGCTTCTGTTTTCACCGGTCTATCTGATCGTGGAACTGGTTATTCCGCGCCCCACTCCTGGAGGAATCGAAAAATCTATATAAACTCCTAGCACGCATCATGAAAGTTGATCATTCTTCCCGCGAACATCGTTGCTCACATTTCACATAGACCTCATATGTACGTAGAACAAACTGTCCGACAAATTTCTTCGACTTTCCCATCGATTTTCCTCGACGTAAATTCAACGCGTTCCCAAAAGTTCGCATTATTACAATCATTATCAGCAAATATTGCAAGGTATCGAGTTTATCATACAATAATATCACCAATATCATTATTAACACAGCAATCTTCACTGAGATCAACTTATATCACTATACATAGAAAAACTCAGATATCATACTACTATGTAACATATTTTAAATAGAAGTTGTAGCTAAGTGTTTTTATATAAAAACGAGATTTCTCGTTATCGGTGCGCAATGTGTCAACAGATATGTATACTGATAAATATTCTGATAAATAATTCGATCAAAACATTCCAGAACAAGTGTCACATTATACAACTACGTCAAATAATATAATTTACTCAAACATCCTTATTATAACGACATACATGTACCACACATAAATTCAGTTTTCCTCATTGTTACTTGTTTTATATGATAAATCAAAGGGTTCAGTGCAAAACGAAGTAAAGGAGGCTCAAATAAATCCTTTCCCACGGAATGCAAATTCGAACAGAGGAAAGCTGCGCGTATACAGCTGAATGTTCTCTGCGCTGTTCTCTGTGCACTCAGCAGATTGAGATCGTCCCTTGTCAGACGCCGAAATCAACGGTACCGCGGAGATTACGGTCGACTGTGAACCGCGCCCGGAACAATGGGCGCTCGGTTAATTAGACAACACCAACGGAGACTTTCCTGCAATTATTTGTGAACGAGCCCGCATCGAATCGTCCCGTAAATCGGATTTATCCCGATAACGCGCGGTGGACGTGCTTTCTCCGCGAAACGTTTCCAGTTTCCGTTCTGCGTCTCATCCAGTGAAAATTCCATTAACGTTGAGTACCGCGCGATTTCATTGTACAGAACACTCGGAACGGAAAGGATGTGATATTGAATCGTTTGGTTGAATTGCATTGATATTATTGCAGCTATTATTATTAGCTAGCATTATTTATATAGAAATCGTTTCAAATGATCATAGTTTAATTGAGAGATTCATTTCAATAGCAAGCATCGTTGCAATATTTCGTTGATACTTTGTGGAAGATTTTTTGAATATCTATATACCTTTCCATAGGAAACTGAATTAAATATGATGAGGAATGACAACCCATTCGCTGACAGTCACGAATATACTCGTAGCAAGAGATTGCCAGTTTGGTACAATCTTGGTTGTATTTGAAATTGATCGTAATATAAAGCGAAATAAATTGAAAGTACAAATGAAATCACACATTTTATGCTAGCAGTGAATGGGTGATTACAAGATTTGTCATTGTTATAAAAGAATAAGGAATATCGTATAAAATGCCTAAAATTCTCATGCAGTGAACGTGTTAAATACTGTAATATGTGGAACAATCGGAACATGTTGTTAGAATTTTTATGAAGGTTATATATTCATAATATTAAATGCTCAGTATTGTTGGCAAACTATAAAATTAACTTAAAAATGAATTTCATTATTTCGTAATATAATTCTGATCAATATAAACATATATTCTTCTAGGAACGATAAAGTGTAGAATATATCTCCGTAAATCTAATATTAATATATCGAATACTTATTCGAATAATTAATACATTATTTGAATAACTGAATTATTCATCAGTTTTCGATTTTTCATAGAATATTAACAGGAAAAAACAGTCCCGACTTCTCGCGAGTCATTCCATGCGTTACAGCATTAGATAAGAGCACACGCGAAACGAAATATCCCCTTATTCGCACGAAATATGAAATATCGGCTGTCACGGGCACGTCAAAAAATGCGTTACGCCGGCAGAGACGTGTTGACAGTCGGTAGATTACGTTTGTGCGTAATGGGTGCATAGAGACTTTCGTTCCAGACCGTCGTACCAATTGTTTACTCAATCCTGTCCGTCAGCGAATTGCGAAATCGTGTTTGTCGCAGATTTCGCGTAATTACAGTGCACTTGTGTACGTCAATTACGTCGCTGGGGGGTTTTCCTTTTACGCATATCGAACGAGGCGACGGGACACTTCGTACTTAACACGTTTCGCGAGGAGACATAATCGCCGAAGGTTCGATCGCTTGTTTCTGCGACGCCTTGACATTTTTTGGGGGACTTCGAATTCGTAGTTTATGACTGGCGATGTGAAAGTCTTTTCATGAGTCCGATTGATTTACGTTGACGCGGTGTTACGTCATTTCGTGAGGTGCTAGAATCTTCTGTTTTTCTCGCATCGTACAGTTAATTAATTGTTATATTAACGTGAGTCGTTAAGAGAATATTTCTGCAGTTTGCAGATTATCTTGGAATTTAGTCATTCTCAGCATTTCTTTTCATATCTTTCTCTTTGATCTTTTGATATTTATTGTAGCGTACCATTTTGCGTATAAATGTAATTTTTTCTTATAATTTTATTATTCATTTTATCATTTTCAATTATTAATTTGAAGAAATTAAGGAGTTGCCGGACATTCTGAATTAGAAATCTTCAGCCGCGATAAATGGCAATTATCGCATTGAAAATGCATTTCTACCATAAATTTCGATTCCGACCGTAAAGCAACGAAAATCGCAATAAAATATTCCTAATGACACCAAAGTGATTTCATGTTTACAGGGATTAGCTGTTGCCATCGTTCTTGGGTCATATTTCATAACGATCTTTGGCTACACTTCACACTTGTGCAGTGTTGCCTATTGAAGCGCGTTTTACGATCGTTAATTGTGTAACAAAGGCGAGATGGTAATAAATAGCGAGCAGTTATCGGTATAATAATTGAAACGAATTTTGTAATCGGCGTCGACTGACCGCAGTTCAATTTTCCGTCGAACGGCGT